ACTACTACTACTACTACTACTACTACTACTAATAATAATAATGACTGAAGATGATGGTGATGGTGTTGGCGGTGATAGTGATAATAGTAGTAGTGAATGGTTGTTCTAAACCGATATTATCTTTCTAGAAAGTTGCACTGGCTATGATAAACATTGTTATCACAAATATCGCGAATGTCCCTATGGACACCACAGCTGTAAAGAGGATTACTCATGCCGACATCATGGAGAGGCGTGCTGCTGGTAAGAGTTTAACTACCAATAAGCTACAGCCTCGTATTTTAATCAAATTGTTAAATTCTAATGATGTAATAATTTGTTTCTGTTGATTTTGGGATTCTGGTGACCTATCCGGATTGGGCATAACTTTTTCACATTTAAAACCACATTATGCACGCCCTTGGAATCATTTCCTTGTTTAACGATAACGCTCAGTACCCCGATCGCGAAAGATGGACGATTTATTTGTTCACGAAACATTTGCTCAGTATAGGTGCGCAGGTAGGTGCCCACAATGAAGAATTTCTCCGCGCGTTATTGAACGAAGACCCTTAAGAATTATACTAGTAGTAGCTTTAATATAAACCATGCCACACTCAGCCAGAGCTCAGAAATCCATACGAAACTCTCTAATTTTGATGTCTAAAATATCATTGGGAGGTCATAGGTATGCTATGGTCCTTGATCTTTTACAAGTGTCCTTTTAGGTGTATATGGCTTTTTTAATAAAATACCATGAATAAAAATCCTGCATAATGAAAGAGGTTTATTCTCACTGTTACTGTGTTGTTATAATTCTTTTTCTAGTTCTGACTAGAAGACAAGCTCACCGGCCGAAATGGGATCCAGGATAACGACGTCTGCCCTCTCAGCAAGACTGAATAAAGATTAATATAAAAAATTTAAACAAATGTTAAACAGTATAGTAATCATAATAGGTAATAAATAGGAACTTCTCAAGGCCCAAGATAAACAGTATATCCGTAAATTAGTGAAATGTGAGCATAATAAACACGAAAAGCAATACTTTTTTCGAATTAGTCTTTGATCTTTCGATTCATGTCGTATGTCGTATGTCGTATGTCGTATGTCGTATGTCGTATGTCGTATGTCG